GCACAGCAACACGGCTTCCCGCCCAGCTCGCTGCTCCCGGAGGCAGGCGCTCCCCAGCCCACCTCCGCCGTCTCCATGGCCAGGCTCAAATGTCACAGTCTGGTTATCCAGCAGGACATGGATTCCATCATGAGGCTCAAGGAGCCATTGGACCTGGAAGGAGATGGGAAGGGGTCTGAGCCCGACCCGCAGGTGGAGCCGACGCCCAGGAGAGCGGCTGGGAGAGCCCCCGGGGCTGGAAGCTGCGCCCTGGGCCTGGAGGAAGGTGACGCCAGCCCCGTCTACCGTGTGCTCCGCGGGGCCAGGCATGGTTTTCGGATGATCCCCTTTAGCTCTCACAACAGCCCGTGAGGCAAGTCATGTTATCCCCGTTCTTACCAGGAGAAAACCAAGTTAAGTAGTTTCTTCGAAGCCAAACAGCTGGGAAACCGTGGCGCCAGAGCCGTAATCCCCCATCCCCAGGATTTACTCCGGGACAGCTGCGCGGATGGGGCGTGGCTCCCCCCCTCCTGCCCGGCTTGTCTTCTTCGCTGTCTTCCTTCTCCTCAGCCTCAGTGTGTGGCTGAAGGTCCCTGTGGATGCAATGCAGGGAGGTCCCCGCGCCCCTCACTCACCGTCACAGGGTCCAGGCTGCCAGAGCGGTACTGAGCCGCAAAGGCGATGAAGTTGGTGGCCTGGGCTGAGCCAGTCTGGGCCGTGCGGCCCTGCAGCAGGAAGGAGGAGTTCCCGTCCTGGGCCCCGACCAGCAGGAAGTCCCCCAGCCCATTGAAGGTGTAATTGACACCATCCAAGGTGGTGATGTGGGGGTCCCCGAACATCCAGGCTGGGGGGAAAAAAGAGATGCCGCCTCAGCATGACAAACCAAGTGCCCGGCTGGGATTCCTCACTGCAGTCCGGGGGGCACCTGTCAGGTGGAATCAGGGCTGAGATTCCTCACTATAGTCAGGCGGGCACCTGTAAGGTGGACTCAGGGCTGAGATTCCTCAGTACAGTCGGGAGCAGGGGGGTGGGGGGCACCTGTCAGGTGGATTCAGGGCTGAGATTCCTCACTGTAGTCAGGGGGTCACCTGTCAGGAGGACTCAGGGCTGGGATTCCTCACTGCAGTTGCCGGGGGGACACCTGTCAGGTGGACTCGGGGCTGGGATTCCTCACTACAGTGGGAGCAGGGGGGTGGGGGGCACCTGTCAGGTGGATTCAGGGCTGAGATTCCTCACTGTAGTCAGGGGGTCACCTGTCAGGAGGACTCAGGGCTGGGATTCCTCACTGCAGTTGCCGGGGGGACACCTGTCAGGTGGACTCGGGGCTGGGATTCCTCACTACAGTCGGGGTGGGGCACCTGTCAGGTGGACTCAGGGCTGAGATTCCTCACTATAGTCAGGGGGGCACCTGTCAGGAGGACTCGGGGCTGGGATTCCTCACTATAGTCGGGGGGGCACCTGTCAGGAGGACTCAGGGCTAGGATTCCTCACTGCAGTTGCGGGGGGGACACCTGTCAGGTGGACTCAGGGCTGAGATTCCTCACTGCAGTTGCGGGGGGGACACCTCTCAGGTGGACTCGGGGCTGGGATTCCTCACTACAGTCGGGGGGGCACCTGTCAGGTGGACTCAGGGCTGAAATTCCCCACTACAGTGGTGTGGGGGGCACCTCTCAGGTGGACTCAGGGCTGAGATTCCTCAGTACAGTCGGGGGCCAGGCAGTGGGGGGCACCTGTCAGGTGGACTCAGGGCTGGGATTCCTCATTATAGTTGGGGGGGCACCTGTCAGGAGGACTCAGGGCTGGGATTCCTCACTGTAGTCAGGGGCCGGGCAGTGGGGGGCACCTGTCAGGAGGACTCGGGGCTGAGATTCCTCACTACAGTCAGGGGCCGGGCAGTGGGGGGCACCTGTCAGGAGGACTCGGGGCTGGGATTCCTCACTGTAGTCAGGGGGGACACCTGCCAGGTGGACTCAGCAGGGGAGATGTTCACAGAGCACAGATTCCTCCCCTCAAGGCTCCTTGCACTTTTGTGCCCCACTATTCTCACTCCTTCCCCAACACCAGGTACAAAGCCCCTCCACTGGCCGTCCGCCCATCACTGGCGTCATCTCCATCTTCCCTTGTGGCCACAGCTCTGCCCCTACTCCTCATCCAGATGCCACCTCCTGGAAGCCCAGAAGCTCCCCCTCCCCAGAGGCTCTGCCTGGGCCTGGGCCCTGAGGCTCACCAGGCCGTGGGGGTCTGTATGTAGCACAGTCCACGCGGGGCCGCCTCTGCTGGTACAAGGCACAGAGGTAGGGCTTGTCATTCCAGAGGCAGCACCAGTTCTGCGGTTCCAGTTCCGGGGCTGCAGAGAAGAGCAGTGAGTCGGGGAGGCTGAGGACCTGGAGGACCCAGCCGGAGAGCTGGGTGGGGCAGGGCGGTGTCGGTGGAGAGCTTGGTGGCAGGGCAGGGTCAGTGGAGAGCTTGGTGGCAGGGCAGGGTCAGTGGAGAGCTGGGTGGCAGGGCAGGGTCAGTGGAGAGCTTGGTGGCAGGGCAGGGTCAGTGGAGAGCTTGGTGGCAGGGCAGGGTCGGTGGAGAGCTGGGTGGCAGGGCAGGGCAGTGTCGGTGGAGAGCTGGGTAGGACGGGGTGGTGTTGGTGGCAATAGCATGGCTTTGGAATCCAGCACGGCCCTCTCATGACCCTGGGCAGTGGACAGGGTGCTGTCTCTTCTGCAGGCACTGGGGCCACTGTGCAGCAGGGTGCATGGTAGATAAGCAGATTTCCTGTCCTGAGGGTGGACAGCCAAGTACTGACACTCTCAACATAATGGGAGTGGGGAGGGCATGGCTGACAGTCAGGGAACTGTGGAAACTGCCAAGGGACAGGGGAGAGAACGGGAGGACACAGACCACGTGACCCACACCCCTGTGCTCTGCAGCTCCCTTGGAGGGTCTCTGCGGGAGCTGATTCTCAGTCTTCCCCCAAACATCCTGCTCATCCGGGTCTACAGGGACAGGGTCAGCCTAGGTGCTCTCTTCTTGCCTGGAGAGATGGCCCCACTCTGGCCTAGGGATGCGGAGCCAGGTACGGAGATGGGCAAAGAGGCACTCAGCTCACACATCCCCGAATGTCCGCTGGTGGGGATGTTGGAAGCTTCCTAATGCTACCAGATCAGGAAATGGAGACCCAGAGAGGGGAAGGGTCTGGGAAGGAATGAGGACAAGAGGCTTCATGCTGAAGGTCCCCTGCTTGGCTGGGAAGGTGGGGTTGAGATCTCCATGGACTCACGCACCGAACTGCCAGGGACGCTGCACGTGCCAGCCTTCACGAAACTCTCCCCACGGCCCGTAGCTGCAGCACACGCCTCCTCGCCAGGACGTGAAGCTGCAGAGCTGCCTGCTGCCTAGGCCCAAGAGACCTGAAACAAGTGCAGTCCCACTCAGGCCCAGGCCGGGGATGCCAGGGGCAGGGCGGGAACAAGCAGGGGCTGTTTCTGGGAAGAGGGCGCGAGCAGAGAGGGCGGGAGGCTGAGGGCGCGAGCAGAGAGGGTGGTGGGTGAGCTTGTGGGGGGCGGGAAGGTGGTGTCACCTATGCTGACGGGTTGGAATCGTAAGTCCCATCGTCCCTGCTGCCAGGAACAAGGGCAGGAGACCTGGTTCCAGCCCCAGCTGGGCCACTGAGGCTGGCTCTTCAGCCACTGCAGGCACTCGAGACGATAGTTAGGCCTTTCTTCCCGGTGTAGCCTGTAGAACTGCAGCCCTCGGAGGCCTGGGGTCAGGAGATGGGGAGAGAGAAAGGGCTTATCCAGGGCCTGGGCCTGGGGTCCGGGGATGGGGAGGGAAAAAGGGCCCACGTCAGGTGGGCAAGGATTCCACCCCCAAAGCCCATTGCTTGACTTAGCGTCTGTTTCTTTACCAAAAGTGGTTGCCACAGAACAAACAGAACTGGATTTATACATCACAATTCACGTGGCTGGTTTCTAAGGCTAAACTGTCCTTTATCCTATCACATTTTGGAAACTATTGTTTCTTTCCCATTGGGGCCTCTGGACTGAGTCGGAGAAGGTGCCATCGTCTGCCTCTTGACACTTGTCTTTCTACCCACATGAAAGCTCTTTGAGAGTAAACATAGTTGATCTTTTTCCGTTTTAAAATGTTTCTGGCTGTTAGCACAGTGTCCAGCACACAGCAGGTGCCCAGTAAATGATGATGATGAATGTCGGCCTCTCCTTCGTAGATTCTCTCTTTCTGAGATGGAGTCTCGCTCTGTCACCCAGGCGGGAGTGCAGTGGAGCGATCTCGGCTCGCTGCAACCTCCACCTCCCGGGTTCAAACGATTCTCCTGCCTCAGCCTCTCGAGTAGCTGGAATTACAGGTGTGCGCTACAATGCCTGGCTAATTTTTGTGTATTTAGTAGAGACAGAGTTTCACCATGTTGCCCAGGCTGGTCTCAAACTCCTGACCTCAGGTGATCCACCCACCTCGGCCTTCCAAAGTGCTGGGATCACAGGCGTGAGCCACCGCGCCCGGCCGGTAGATTTTCTTAAAGGATCTCACCTGGGTTCTCATTCCTGCTCTGGACAGGACACTTGGAGAATTGTCTGAACTGCCCACTCAAATCCCACCTCCCACAAGACCCTGTCCTCACTTCCAGGATCTGGGCCCCCCTGAGAGCCCTCTTGGGTTGGTTCATCTGAGGGAGAAGATGTAGCCCCCTCTGAGACTGTGCTGTGTCCAGGGGTGCAGGAGGTACCAGCGGCCCCCTGGGCGGTGCCACATCCCACCTAGACCTGTAGGAGGTTGGACTGTGCAGGGGAGGCCCTTCAGGACGGTGGTGACGTTAGGGAGCGGCCCTCTAGAACTGCAGTGGTGTGTGGGCTGGAGGACACACGAGGGCTTGAGACCAGCTCAGGGGTGATAAGGTGGCACTTTTACCTGAGCTGGAATTCAGGAATCTATCAGGGCGATACTTCTCCCACACTGGCTGGGACATCAGTGGGCTGTTTTCGAAATAGCCGTCTCCACTGCAGGGAAGGAGAGACTCTCTCAGGCCTCTGTCATGCACAGGCTCTTGCCTCGCGGTTGCAAGGCGTCCATTCATCCCGCTGGCCGGTCAGCAGCTGGTCAGCCAGCTAGGCGGGCAGTGGGTCAGTGGGTCAGTGGGTCAGCCAACCCCCATTGTCGAGCCCCAGCACTGAGCAGCAGAGGGGACAAGACGGATGGGCAGAGGTAGGAGGCTCTAACCAATTCCGCTTCTGCAAGAAACTGGCAGGTCCGCTTGGTCACGAGACAGGGGCGTGAAAACAACAGAGTTCAGGCCTCATTTCTGTTTGTTTCCCTTCAACAAGCAGAGGGTTTGGAGCGGGACAGACTCTAGGGACAGTGTATTGTGATGGTTAAGAGCCAGTTTCTGGAGTTAGGCAGTGACGGATTCAACTGCTGATCCCCACACTTACTAGCTTGGTGACCATGGACAACTTACTGACCCTCTCTGATTCTTAGTTTTCACATCTGTGTAAAAGGGATTACAGTAGCACTACCTAGCTGTACAGTGAGGATTCAATGCAGTAACATCTGCGAATCCCTCAGAACTAAGTGAGGCCTCGATACAACAGGTGCTGCCACTGCTGCCACCACCACCAACACAATTGCTACCACCATCACCAACACTACCACCATCACAACCACCACCAACACTACCAACACTGCTACCATCACCACCTCACCACCACTACCACCATCACCACCACCAACACTACCACCATCGCTACCACCACCGCCACCACCACCAACACTGCCACCATTGCCACCACCACCAACACTACCACCATCACCACCTCCACCGCCACCATCACCACCACCACCACCACCACTACCAACACTGCCACCATCACCACCACCACCAACACTACCAACACTGCCACCATCACCACCTCCACCACCACCATCACCACTACCACCACTACCACCATCACCACTTCCACCACCACCACCATCACCACCACCACCACCACCACCGCCACCACCACCAACACTACCACCATTGCGACCACCACCAACAACAACACTACCACCATCACCACCATTACCACCAAACACTTCCACCACCACCACCAACACTACCACCATCAGCACCACCACCAACACCAACACTACCACCATCGCCACCACCACCACTGCCAACACTACCACCAAAATCACCACCATCACCACCACTACCACCATCACCACTTCCACCACCACCACTATCAGCACCACCATCAACACCAACACTATCATCACCGCCATCACCACCAACACTACCACCATCGCCACCACGACCACCACTATGGCCATCACCATCTGCAGGTGTGGGGTCCGAGCATGCTCAGGAAGGAGAGAAGCCTGGAGCGGCGGCCTGTAGACCCATCCTGGGTGCCTGCTGCAGAGTGGGGACTCTTGGGCTTTTCCTCCTCCCTGACACAAGCAGGATGACGCACCCCTGTGTGACACCTTCCTCGGGTGTACTTGGACCATGTGAAATTCCTAGGCAGTTGGGCAATTCCCCTCCTTTCACCTTCATAGCACACCAAGTAACCAGTGAAAGCAGTGTAATCAAAGGGGTAACCTGAGCACACTCAGTGTAGGAGAAGACCATTTGCAGCAATTATCAAGGACAAAAGACATCGCTTCTCGGCCTTTTGGCTAAGATCAAGTGAAGAACAAGACCTGTGGCCTTTGCACTGATTGCCACACACCAGCATATGGGACAGAGACGGTGCACTGTTGCATCGGAGACGGCCTCCCACACACGGAAATCCATATTTCAACCGCCCACAGCCCCGTGCCTCCTCTCTCCCTTCACCACCAGCTCCTTATAAGCTTTTGGTGCTCCTTGGAATTCTCAGAAAGTCGGGAAGGCAGATTCTAGCCTCAGATGTCTGGGTTCAAATCACATTGCCACTTCCCAGCTCTGGGACTTTAGGCAAATTGTCTATTTGTGTCTCAGTTTCCTGATCTGTAGAGTGGGGATGATAAATCGTATCCGCCTCATGGGGTGGTTGTGATCATGACATGCAATAATGTACATGAAGTGTTAGTGTCATCAGTCTTGGCTGTTGTTATCATGATATTTGAGAAGGTAAGAGAGGCCAGCTAATGTAGTGGAAATCAGGGAAGCCAAAGCTCTGGGAATTATTACAACGCACAGGGACTGGGATGGGAGAGGATGTGGTGGACAAATGGGTGTTCTTGTCGTGGGAAGCAGCCAGATGCCTGGCCCCAGCGGGAGCTGGAGTCAGCGTGAGTCAGAAGCACCAGCCAGGAGGGTTCACATCTTGCCTCAGGGTGGGAGCGTGTGTGCAGTGAAACCCCACTCTGCACCCTCCCTGCCATCTGCTCAGTGCTGACAACCCCTCCCATCCTACCTGGAGAAGCCCATGAGCACGAGGTTGCCTGAGCGCTGGGCCACGTCCCACTGCATCCCACCGCTCTGGTAGAGAAACAGGGCATAGGACCTGCTCCCGTCTGTGGAGAGGATGGCCTGGTAGGTGTTGCTCTGGGGGTGGGTGGAAGAAAACACAGGGATGCCCGTGAGAGATACGGGGTTTCCTCTCTTATGTCCCCCCGCCCGTCCCACAGCCCTGCCTGGACATGTACAGCACCTGTTCCTGGTCTGCCCACAGCAAAGGCATGGGCCCAAAATGCTGGCAAGTTTTGGGTCAATGAGGGCAGCTTTCACCCTGGGTGTGAACACACTTACCACGATGGATTTGCCTTTTGGTGACTTTCTTCCAGGAAGGGAGATAAAGGGTTCTGGGTTATAATTCAGTTAGATGAGTGTTTGTAAGAGAAAGCTACCAGAACCTGAGAGATGAGCCAAGATACCAGAGAGCTAGAGAGGAGGCTTTGTTAGCTCCCTCGCGGATATTTAAGGACATTGTCCAAATTGTCCCCTCCACCTGAACAGCATGGATGACACTGGGGTTCGCTGAAGGCGCACACGTTGTCCATGGTAGGTGACCAGTGAACTTTTGTCAAGTGAATGAAGAAATGAGTGACTTTAGACCAGGCATAAGGAAGAACTTGGTGACTACAAGAGCGGGTCCTCGGACGGAGGACAGAGGAGATGGTGTGGTGTGCCCCATGCCCGTTGGATGAGCCCGTGCTTAATGGCCAGAGGCTGGAGTCAGAAGAAGCTCCGCTGCAGGCCTGGCGTTGCCATTTGCAGTGGCGTGACTTTGAGCAAGTTACTTAACCTCTCTAACCATTGTCTTCCTCATCTGTAAAATGTGGATCAGAATACCCAGTTGAGCCACATGAAATTCCCAATAGCCAGACATTTTTGACTTACAAAAATGCCACTTGCTATGTTTCAACCTAATGATATCTGGTTTGCTGGGCTGTGGTGAGGTCAAGTAGGCAAAGGGCTGAGGCCGGCCGGGCCCACAGTGAGTGCTCCGCCAGCAGTGGGAGCAGCGGGGGGTGGCAGTGGGTGGGCTGCTGTAATTAGCAATCTTTCCTAGAGCCAGAGAGGATTTTGGAAGAGTAGCCCCTGCCTAGGATTCTAGGGTGTCTGACTCCCAGATGGCTCCCTGGGAGCTGCCCACGGGTCTACTCACCCCAAGGGTCCACTGGGCAGGATAAGCGTGGGCATTGACCCACGTGACCTTTAGGGTCCACCTGGCCTTGAAGCCGCCATTGTTTGTGATCTTTCTAATCCAAGACTCGGCCTGCAGGACTGGCAGCCTGCGTTCACCATAGAGCGTCTCGTATTCCTAGGAAAGGAGGGCAGATGAGAAGAAGCCAACGAGGGTCCCACTCCCGCACATGGACCCCCACTTTCTGCCTGGGGACCCACCCACATGGCCTGCCCTCCCCTGTCCCAGGCCTGCATTTTTGCCGTGAGCTCTTCTGACGTGAAGTTCAATTCAAACTCGGGCTGCAGGAAGGCCTGCACTGTGCAGAATGCAGAGTCCTGGCCCAGACGTCCAAGACCTCTGGACTTGAACTCAAGCATCTCTTAGCTCAAACTGGCCCAGAGAGCAAAGCCACTCAGGCCCACTTTTACCTCCCCATGCCTAATCTGCAGCTCCTTGAGAACAGGCATGAGACTCTCCCTCTTGGAGCCTCTACACTGCCGTGTCCATGGCAGGGGCACGGTCCACACTTGGTCCATGGCAGGCACATGGTCCACACTTCCTGCAGTAGCTTTCATCACGTGCTTCCTCTAATTGGAGTTATTCACCCAGTCCAGGAGCACAGCACAGGCCCTCTTGACTCACTCTTGTTAGGATAGACCCCCTACAGCCTGATTTTACAATCAAAGGCTGAATTGTCAGCTCCCATCCCCATCACCTGCAGGTCTTCTCATGGTTGGGTTGGGGTATTCCTGGTCAGTTTCATGGTTAGGTTGGGGTATTCCTGAGTCAGCTTAATATCCCTTGCCAGCTTCCTCCCACACCCATATTTAAGCCTCAGTCCCCTGCTGCAGGGGCTGTCACAGCAGCGACTCTGGCAATGCCTTCCACACAGCTCTGTTTCTCCCCTGCTGCGGGATCCTGACTGCCAGGCTTTGACAGGCTCACCTGATAAAATATGGTCCCCTGACCAGTGGAGAAGTCAGCATCGTCCCAGAACGGAGCCACCAGGGCCACAGGGTCCCAGCCTGTGAAGCCTGTTGGGAGTGGGTTGGGATAGGAGAACATCTGGTAGTCTGACTCTGGGAAGATGATCTGGCCATTGTCTGTGAACTAAGCACACAGGTTTTGTGGTTACCATTCAGGGAGGAAGGTGGGGAGGAAAGTCCCAGCCTTGGTCCAGCTCCACAGAAGCGTGACCCCCAAGGGTAGAGCTTTAGAGGTGCTAACAACCCCGGGAAGTCACCTCCTGTGTCCTGGCTTCGGGAGAGCCCTTTCCGTATAATCTCACAGAATACTCCACCCTTAAGGCATCCCTTGGGTCCTTGGGTGGTCGGCTTGGTCCTGTTTCACTGCAGATCCCCGGCTGTGGACCAGCCAATCACAGACACATCCCTCTGGGCCAGTCCCCTGGGCCCCATCCTGAAGCTTGTGACACATCATGTGGGGCTCAGGAGGTGGAAACTCTGCTCTCCATCACTCAGGAGTGTAGACACCCTCTCTCCATCAGTCAGAAGTGTAGACAGCCTATCTCCATCCCTCAGTGGCTGGAGCCCTGTCTCCATCACTCAGCGGTGTAGACAACCTCTCTCCATCACTAAGGGGTGTAGACACCCTCTCTCCATCACTCAGCGGTGTAGACACCCTCTCTCCATCACTAAGGGGAGTAGACACCCTCTCTCCATCACTCAGGGCTGTAGACACCCTCTCTCCATAACTCAGGGGGTGTAGACATCCTCTCCATCACTCAGCAGTGTAGACAACCTCTCTCCATCACTAAGGGGTATAGACACCCTCTCTCCATCACTCAGCAGTGTAGACACCCTCTCTCCATCACTAAGGGGTGTAGACACCCTCTCCATCACTCAGGGATGTAGACACCCTCTCCATCACTCAGGGGTGTAGACAACCTCTCTCCATCACTCAGGGGTGTAGACTCCGTTTTTACATCACTCAGGGGGTGGAGCCCTCTCTCCATCACTCTGGGGTGTAGACACCCTCGCTCCAACACTCAGGATTTTAGACATCCTCTCCATCACTCAGGTGCGTAGACATCATCTCTCCAACACTCAGGGATGTAGACACCCTCTCCATCATTCAGGGGTGTAGACACCGTCTCCATCACTCAGGGCTGTAGACACCCTCTCTCCATCCCTCAGGGCTGTAGACACTCTCTCTCCATCGCTCAGGGGTGTAGACACCCTCTCTCCATCAGTCACAAGTGTAGACAGCCTATCTCCATCCCTCAGTGGCTGGAGCCCTGTCTCCATCACTCAGCGGTGTAGACACCCTCTCTCCATCACTAAGGGGTGTAGACACCCTCTCTCCATAACTCAGGGGGTGTAGACACCCTCTCCATCACTCAGGGCTGTAGACACCCTCTCTCCATAACTCAGGGGGTGTAGACATCCTCTCCATCACTCAGCGGTGTAGACAACCTCTCTCCATCACTCAGGGGTGTAGACACCTTCTCTCCATCCCTCAGGGCTGTAGACACCCTCTCTCCATAACTCAGGGATGTAGACACCCTCTCTCCATAACTCAGGGGTGTAGACACCCTCTCTCCATTACTCAGGGCTGTAGACACCCTCTCTCCATAACTCAGGGATGTAGACACCCTCTCTCCATAACTCAGGGGTGTAGACACCCTCTCTCCATCACTCAGGGGTGTAGACACCCTCTCTCCATCGCTCGGGGGTGTGGACACCCTCTCTCCATCGCTCGGGGGTGGAAATCTCTCTCCATGGCTCAGCAAGTGTAGACACCTCACCATTGCTGAGTCGCCCTCTCATGGTGCGTCCCACAGCCTCCCCCTGAGGGCCGCGGGAGCCAGGACGGCCCCTCCAACTCCGCTCCAGGGGACAGGGACGGGGTGCAGAACGCGGGCACAGCGGGAACAGCTCCCTTTCCCAAGCGCAGCGTTTTGCTCCGGGGAAGGCCGCGCAGAGCAGCGCTGGGCCCAGCAGGCGTCCGCCCTCGCCTGGCGCCCCGTGTTCCTCGGCAGACGCCTGACATTAAGGGGGCTGTGGGGCGCACGAGGGGCCCCGCCGAGGCTGCCTCCACTCCTGCTTCCTCTGGGTTGTCTCGAAGCTGGGGAGAGAAGCGGCCCAGGGAGCTGAGGCCGCCGCCGGGACTCACGTAGAGGGAATCGCGCAGCGAGGAGCCGAGGGGGAAGCCAGTCGCGGGCCTGAAGAGCGGGGAGGTGAAGTCCACGGTCCTCCTGACGAACTCCAGGTCCCCGGCGGCGGCCCCGTAGGGGAGGAGGGAAGCTCCTGGCCAGGACAAAGACGAGCAGGACGTCCGAGGGGGCCTGGGCCTTCTTTAGGGCCGAAAGGGATCCCAGAGCGCTCCCCGCGCGCTGCGCGCACCTGCCCCGTTCCCCGAGGGCCCCAGAGGCAGCCAGCAAGGGCTCTTGTGGTTCCCTCTCCACCCACACCGAACACATGTGGTCATTTTACTCCCGAACTGCGCCTCTCATCCTTCCCCAGCTCGGAGAAAAACAGGTCCTGCTGTCAGAATACCCGCAAACAATCGCCATCTCTTAGGTAGTCCCAATCCTTTTCAGGGTTAAATGACAAACGTCCATGCCGGACGCGGTGGCTCTCGCCTGTAATCCCAGAACTTTGGGAGGCCGAGGCGGGTGGATCACGAGGTCAGGAGTTCGAGACCAGCCTGACCAACATGGAGAAACCTCGTCTCTACTAAAAATACAAAAACTAGCCTGGTGTGGTGGCGCATGCCTGTAATCCCAGCTACTTGGGAGGCTGAGGCAGGAGAATCGCTTGAACCCGGGGGGTGGAGGTTGCAGTGAGCCAAGATTGCTCCACTGCACTCTAGCCTGGGCGACAAGAGCAACCCTCCGTTTCAAAAAAAAAAAAAAAAAATTGACAAAAGTCCAGTGCAGTGAAGATTCGTGACTGCAGAGCCCTTTTCAGGGAATGAGACTTGCTTCCTAAGATGGCCTTTCTCCGGTTACACTTGAAGACTCCTCGAATTTAACCTAGGACTCCCTAGAGGTTCTTGGGCTCCGGTTTGAGAAACCTTGTCCCAAATAATTCTCGCAGCTGCCGACTCCTTGGGGCCCTCCCCTGGTCCTGCTTGGAATCCCGTAGGCTCTCCTGGCCTCGTCGCTGCCTGCACATCTGGCCGCTGCAGGCACCACTTGTTAAATGCCATTTGTACAATGCAAAACAGTCCTCCCTGGCTCTCCTTACCTACAGGATTGCATGCTGGCCGCACTTTTTGCTCCTCTTGTTCTCATTTTCAGCCACCCCAAATGATTTGGGGATCCACTCCCCATGCAGCACCCGGTCCACTTTCCACGGCCATACCTTCCGCACTTTTGTTCCAGCTGTTCCCGCCCTCCTCCCTCTCCCTCCTCCCTGCCCGGGGTGCTCTCCATCCCCCGGCTCTGCCTTCCTTAGGGCTTTCCATTGTGTGCGCTTAGACCCTGGCATGAGTCCTCTAACCACCTCTACCGGACAGTCCATCTGTCCCTTGCTGAATGGCACCAGGGTCATTTCTCTGTCTCCAGCCCCTGACCCAGTGCCATGCACAAAGCCAGCCCTCAGCAGCGACTCTGATGCTGTGTCCCTGTCCTCACTAAGGCCTTGCCGACCCAAAAGAGCAGAGACTGTGGGAAGCAGGCTGAGAGGGAGCCATCAGTTACGTCACCGCTCAAAACGCACATGTCTCACCTGTACGGCCTCACTCACCTTTCTCAGGCTGGACCGGGACGGGGGCGGGGGCGGCTGTGGAGCGGGTGTGCATGGCAGTGCTGGGAGTGGCAGAGGTGGAGGCCTGGGAGGTGGTCGGGGGGGATGGGGCTGTGGCGGTCTGGGAGGTTGTTGGGGGTAGTGATGTGACTCGGCCACTCTCGCTGCCTGTCTTCACTGAGGTTGTCGTCATTCCTGGACACGTGAAAAGAGAAGGCAGGGGTGGTTCTTACAGTAAGAGAACAGCAGAGTCAAAGAGATTCAAAGAAATCAGGAGCTGGAAGAGAGAGCTGGAAACTCCTTGTCTGTCCACTGGTCATATCCAAACCACTCTCGATATCAGCGGTTTTCGACTGGGGCAGAGAGTGGGGTGAGCCTGTCACCCACCACACCCATCACCTCCTCCTCTGTGGGACCTTACTCAGTCCCACCAGATAATGTGAATGCGCCAGTGTTCTCAAGTACTCGTTAGGCTGAATTCAGCCAAGGGGGCCACTGGGAGAGACGAAGACAAGGCAGATGGCAGCTACCTGATGTTTCCGTCTTCAGAGGGGAGCCCGAGGATACTGTGGATGCTGAGGATGCGCTGCTGACGGCAAGAGGCGTGGCATGACCTGTGAGTAGGGTGGTGGAGTTCGACGTGACAGCAGGGCCAGGGAATGCTGGAGAGAATGGAGAGTGACTGCTGGAAGGAGAGAAAGTCAGTGTGGTCTGAGCTGTGTTCATGTCACTGGAGGAAGCTGAGTCTCTGGATGGCTGTGGAGTGGGAAATGTGTTCTTAGGATACTTAGATGCTGAAGAAGCTTCCAGAGTGGTCTGGATTGACAGGTAGGTGGTAGGGGAGAATGACGAGGTTGGCGTAGAATTCATTGTGCCACTATGATTGCTTGTAGAACTCTTGTGCGTGGACCTTATCATGGGGTTGGGTGTGGGGGTCACCCTTTTAGTAGCTTCCGGGTGCTCAGGGCTGGGCGTGCTTGAGATGCCCACTGACGATGCAGGCACCCGCGTGGTAATTGTTAAGGCGTTGTTACCAGAATGTAACGGGGTAAAGACCGCTGCGGGTACGGTCTCATGGATGACTGAGCTCCTGCTTGTGGTCAGAACACCCTCACTGGTGGACACAACTGTGGAAGGAGAATGAGAGGCGCCATCACTCAGGGTGCTGGAACTGACCTTAGGTGGCCCTTCCGTGGTCCCAGGTGATGAGGTTGGCACTGTTGTCTGGGTGCCATGGCTGTTGCTGACGAGGGCCATGTTGAAGGTTGTACCAGACCCTGAAGGTGACAGAGTGTGGGTCTCGGTTTGTGGAAATGTGAGCCCACTGGATGTGATCGAAGGAGGTGTGGGTGTGACTGTTGAGAAAGTGTCAGTCGCCTGGGACACCAGGCTGATGGTGTCAGACCCTCTGCTGGTTCCTGTCCTCTGAGTCTGCGCTATCCGGGAAATGGCGGCCGTCTCCTGAGGAGAGGCACTGGGAGAAGTTGGGCTTGACTGTCCTGTCGGTCTCCCTGCAGTGGAGGCCTCAGAGAGGGTGACAGGAAAGGTGCTGGGGACAATCGCAGACACCATTCCTGTGCTTACTGGGGTGGCATCATGACTGGCTGAGGCAGATAGCAATTCGGTTGTTGACTGGGTTGTGTGACTGTCCCTGGAGGGGTTTGGCGAGAACCATGTGGTCTCTCCTGTGATGGATATTCCTTCGCTTCCTGAAGGTGTTGTGCTGCTCGCCCTGGATGAGGAAGGGGTAGCTGTGCCATCTGAGGTGGTGCCCGACCCTGAGGAGGCCGGTTCACTGGTCTGTGTTTCTCCAGAGGCCTCTGTGCCTTCAGCCTGGTGGGTTTGGGTCATGGCTGCTGCTGTGTCAGGTGAGGTGCTGGCAGAGGCTGATGTCCATCGTCCTTCTGGGACCCCTGGTGTTGACACTACACCAGGAAGGGCACCTGTTATGGAAAGTGATGCGCCTCCTGAGGGCGCCAGGGTGGAGTCAGGGCTGCTGGGTGCCGCCTGCAGTACTGTGGTTGGGGCCTGGGTTGTGTGACCATCCCCAGTGGGAGGTGGGGCAAAGGTTGTCGCTGCACTTATGGTAGGTGCATCCTGAGGAGCAATTTCTGAGGGTGAGTGCCCACTGGCTGTGAAGGAAGAGCCTGGGGTGGTGACTGTCTTGGTGTCAGTCACAGGGGAGATGGACCTTGTGGTTTGGGATTCTTGTGTGGTCTGCGGGGCTTGAGTGTGACCTCTCTGGGAAACAGCCAGTGATTCCTGAGGAGAGGTGTTTGTGGAATGTATTGTTGAATGATTTGTTGATGGTACCATTGTAATTTGTTGTGATGTGTGTCCATCCAGCATAGGTGAAGAAGATGGGGATGTGGCCGTATTTATCATCTGAGTCACACTGTAGCTTGGGCTGTTGATAGGAACCTCTCCAGTGGTCCCCGTTTCTTGTGTCCATTGTGTCTGGGCACCTGCCCCTGTTGTTTCCAGGAGAGTTGTGCTGTGGGAGGGGTGTGTGGTGGGCTGTCCTGATTCCCCTATTGTTGAGACCTCAGAGGGGACCCTTGGAATAGTGCCAGCTGTCCCTGGCACTATTGGACTTCCTGTGACAAGCCTAGTGGCAGCACCTGTTGGTGTTGAGGGCAGTTCTTTTGGTGAGCGAGTTGTGCGGTCTTCACTGGAGAATGAGAAAGGCCATGTTATGGTTTCATGTGGAGGAAATGTCTCATGAGACACACCTGGAGAGACTGAACTCCTCTCATGAGGCCATCCTATGGTCTCTGCTCCTTCACTCTGCTGGGTGTGGAAAGCTGTGGATATTTTTGGAGGTAAAGAACTGGGGGAGAGTGCTGTTGACAGTGTGTCTGACAACCATATGGTTGAAACTCTAGAAGTAATTGCAGAAATGGTTCCCCTTACAGGTAGTGATATTTCCTCTGTGTTTCCAAGAGTAGAGTCTCTGGAGGTGGGCATTCTGAACACCTCTGATGTCACCAGGAATGTGTTGCTGACACTGGAAGGGGATGAAGTGGTTGTTTCACCAGAAGGGAATGTCTCCTGAGAAACTGTTCCACTTGGGTTGAATCCACTTGGTGAGGATAAAACAGTTGATGTTGTAACCGGTGTGAGGGTGTTGATTTGAGATACTCTGGTGGTCTCTATGCTCTGAGTCTGGTGGTTCTGCAAAGAATCTGATGTGTCTTGCGTAGAGGTCCTCGAGGAAGTTGTTCGTGATTGTCCTTCTGGTTCAGCTCCTACTGAGACTGCTGAGGTCACTGGAGTAGAACTTTCAGTTCCTGGTGTTGATGTCTCTTCTGTGTTTCCAAGAGTGGAGTCTGTGGAGGTTGTCATTGTTATAGTCTTTGATGTCATCATGAGTGTGTTGGTGACACTAGAGGAAAATGATGTGGTTATTTCATCTGGAGGAGATGTCTTCTGAGAAACAGCCTCCGTCACGTTGAGTACACTTGGGGAAGAGGGAAGAGCTGATGTCATCATCTGTGTGAGGGTGTCAGTTTGAGCTTCACTGGTGATCTCTGTGCTCTGAGACTGGTGGTTCTGAGAAAAACCTGTTGTGTCCTGAGTAGAAGTCCTTGAGGAAGTTGCTGGTAATTGTCCTTCTGGCTCAGCTGTTATTGAGGCTGCTGAAGTGACTGGCATAAGACTTCTTGTAACAGGTACTGATGTCTCCCCTGTGTTTCCAAGAGTGGAGTCTGTGGAGGTTGTCGTCGTTATCTTCTTTGATGTCATCATGGGTGTGTTTGTGACACTAAAGAGGGATGAGGTAGTTGTTTCACCTGGAGGAAATGTCTTCTGAGAAATAGTCCCTTTCACATTGTGTACACTTGGGGAGAAGGAAGGAATTGATGTGGTTCTCTGTGTAAGAGTGCTGGTTTGAGACTCTCTGGTGGTGTCTATGCTCTGAGTCTGGTGGTTCTGCGAAGAAGCTGATGTGTCCTGGATAGAAGTTCTTGAGGACGTTGTTCGTGATTGTCCTTCCAGTTCAGCTGTTATTGAGACTGCTGAGATCGCTGGGGTAGAACTTTCAGTTCCTGGTGTTGATGTCTCTTCTATGTTTCCAAGAGTGGAGTCTGTGGAGGTTGTCATTGCTATAGTCTCTGATGTCATCATGAGCGTGTTGGTGACACTGGAGGGAAATGATGTGGTCATTTCATCTGCAGGAGACGTCTTTTGAGAAACAGTCTCCATCCCATTGAGTACACTTGGGGAAGAGGAATGAGTTGATGTCATCATCTGTGTGAGAGTGCTGGCTTGAGCTTCGCTGGTGGTCTCTGTGCTCTGAGACTGGTGGTTCTGAGAAGAAGCTGATATATCCTGGGTAGAGGTCCTTGAGGAAGGTGCTGCTGATTGTCCTTCTGGTTCAGCTGTGATGGATGCTGCTGAGGGGACTGGTGTAGGACTTTTAGTTCCAGGTGTCGATGTCTCCTCAGTGTTATTAAAAATGGATTCTGTAAAGGTTGTCATTGTCATAACCTTTGATGTCATCATGGGTGTGCTGGTGACACTGGAGGGAGATGGGGTGGTCATTTCATCTGCAGAGGATGTCTCCTGAGAAGCAGTCTCTGTGACATTGAGTACACTTGGGGAAGAGGAAAGTGTTGATGTGGATCTCTGTGTGAGGGTGCCGGTTTCAGCTTCGCTTGTGGTCTCCATGCTCTGAGACTGGTGGTTCTGAGAAGAAGCTGATATGTCCTGGGTAGAGGTCCTTGAGGAAGGTGCTGTTGATTGTCCTGTTGGCTCATCTGTTATGGACTCTACTGAGGATACTTGAGTAGGACTTTTAGTTCCAGGTGTTGATGTCTCCTCTGTGTTTCCAAGAATGGAGTCTGTAGATGTTGTCATTGGGGGTGTGTTGCTGAAACTGGAGGGGGATGAGGTGGTTGTTTCACCTGGAGGAGTTGCCTCTTGGGAAACAGTCCCTGTCACATTGTGTGTACTTGGAGAGAAGGAAAGAGTTGATGTCGTCATCTGTGTGAGAGTGCTGATTTGAGATTTTCTGGTGGTCTGCATGCTGTGAGTTCGGTGGTTCTGGGAAAAAACTGATTTCTCCTCAATAGATGTCCTCAGCAAAGCTGCAGTTGATTGTCCATTTGTCTCAGCTGTTATGGAGGCTGCTGAGGCCAGTGGGGAAGGACTTTTAGTTCCCAGTGTTGATGTCTCCTCTGTGTTTCCAAGAGTGGAGTCTGTGGATGTTGTCATCACGGGTGTGTTGCTGAAACTCGAGGGGTATGAGGTCATTGTTTTACCTGGAGTAGATGTCTCCTGAGAAACAGTCTCTGTCACATTGTGTACACTTGGGGAGGATGAAAAAGTTAATGTGGCCATCTGTGTGAGGGTGCCAGTTTCAGATTCTCTGGTGGTCTCCATGCTCTTAGTCTGGTGGTTCTGAGATGAAGCTGATATGTCCTGATTAGAGGTCCTTGAAGAAGTGGCAGTTGATTGTCCCTCGAGTGTCACTGCTGCTGAGCCTGCTGAGATAACTGCGGCAGGAGTTTTACTTCCAGTTGTTGATGTTTCCCCTGTGGTTCCCGGAATGGAGTCTGTGGACATTTTCATTGTTTGCACCTGTGATGTCATCAGGAATGTGTTGCTCACACTGGAATGGGGTGAGGTGGTTGTTTCACCTGAAGAGGATGTCTTGTGAGGAATGCTCTTCGTAGAAATACGGCTACTTGGAGTGGTTGAGGGAAGCGGTGTTGTCACATTACTATTTTCTTTAAATAGAAGACAGAAAAACATCGTGAGACTTGAGAGTTTAAGCTCAGTGAAGTTGAAGCTCTTATTACAATGATGAGTGTAGTGTTTATTTATTTAACCAGAGCTAAGGTTTTTGCCCACATATGCAGGCACCTACTGATAGTGAATACTGCAATAAATAACACTTGCCAACATCTTGTCGCCATTGTGTTTGCCTCCAAAGATTGTTTTGTTTTGTTTTTTGAGACAGCATCTTGCTCTGCCACTCAGGCTGGAGGGCAGTGGCACACTCAGGGCTCTCTGCAGCCTCGACCTATAGGACTCAAGCAATCCTCTCACCTCAGCCTTCCAAGTAGCTAGGACCACAAGCATGCACCATTATGCCCAGCTAATTCTTTTTTTTTTGTGGAGATGAGGTCTTGCTATGTTGTCCAGGTTGGTCTTGAACTCCTGGGCACAAGGGATCCTCCCGTCTCAGCCTCCCAAAGTTCTGGGATTAGAGCCATGACCCACTGTTTCCGGCCTATTCTGGAAGAACTGTAATGGAATTACTGATTGAGTGCACCTTCTACTTTCCCCATATAAAGCCTAAAAGCCGAGATTCACGTGTTTTAGTCTCACAACAATGTTTAATTAAAATGCATGTACGTTAAGCATTTAAAAAAATCAAATCACCCTTATGTCCTATACATGTATTTTTCAAACACTCCCTAGTAGATGTGTAGCCTTCTTCCTTTTCATCATCTTCTTTGCTTCTCCTTAGTCTTGTACTGACTCTTGTCAGTTTTTCTGCTCAACCCATCTCCTAATCCCATCCCCTTAAATTTCTTACTTGTGATTCTCTTTTTCTCCCTCCTCTCTCTCTGTTTCCCATCTGAAAAGCCCAGGAACCTTGCTGCCCCAGCAGGACAGGGAGAGGGAAAATGCTGTGAGCTTTATACATGAATGCGCTGCCTGCCTGAATCTATGTCCTACTGGCATTTGCTCAAACAGCTTTGTTCATTCTACATAAAGTAATTGAGAGCACATGCCCAATGATACAAGAAAACTGATGAAGACCCAAATGAGAGTGACACTCCCTCTTTTCTGGAATAATGGTATTTTTGTGGGGGGAGGTGGGGCAGAAGAGTCCCTGCCTTATACTCACACATGTAATTATTTTAATTTCATTTTGGTTTCCCTGTAGATGGTCTTTGCACATCTCTTTGGCGCTTATTGGTTCCCTCTACTTACAATCCAGAACTTGGATCCCTTTTTCTTTTTAACTGGAGTGAAAGTGAATTCTATTCTGTTTTCAAAATCATGTGGGGAGATGGCGGCCGAGCTCAGCGCAAACCTTGCTGAGCAGCTTCTCAGGGTGCCCCCCCTTATCATAGCCAGCAGGGCCAATGGAACGGCGAGGCCCAGAAGTCACAGGCACCATGGCCCAAGGTACTTTCCAGAATCCAGAAATTGTTTTCATGTTAATTTCTTTTACAATTAGAAGAAGGAAAAAAAAAAAACCGGTAATAATGAATTCAGCCTTGATTGCTAGTCTTTGCAGTCATAACATAATTTTTAATGTTTTTCTTTTACAGAAGGAGGGGCCCAGGAAGATATGTGTGTAGGGCCTGTGAAAGTCAAAAGGTGGCCCTTTTGGCAGATGGTCTTAACAAGAGTCTAGGCACATTGATAAGGACATAGGCACAATAGAGATTCATTGATGACAATCTCATTTCATTTTATATTTTACATTAGACTGGGCAGTTTGTATCAAAGTTTTCCGCAAAATGTTTACCTTCCAAAAAGTAAAATGTTCATTAAAAAACAGCAGAGCTGGTTGGGTGCCATGGCTCATGCCTGTAATCCCAGCACTTGGGGAGGCTGAGGTGGGTGGACCGCCTGAGTCTAGGAGTTTGGGACAAGCATAGGCAACATGATGAAACCCCATCTCTACCGAAAAAATACAATGATTATCTGGGCATGGTTGTGCTTGCCTGTGGTCCCAGCTACTAGGGAGGCTGAGGTGGGAGGATGGCTTGAGCCCAGGAGGCAGAGGATGCAGTGAACCGAGATTGCGCCAGCGCACTCCAGCCTGAGCGACAAAGTCAGACCTTGTCTCAAAAAAAAAAAAAAGAAAAGCCCAATAACAAAGCTATTTCTTATGTTGATGCTAAAATTCTTTCCCATAGGGTTATTACGATGCAACAATAAACTCAATTTCAAGAGATTTGTGGTGTTTGGTGATTGATTGAAAACCCTTTTTCCATGTATCAGGAGGTGTTGTCCCCTTAGGGAACATGAACATCAAGGCTAGGGCACTGCTCCTTCTTTGAACAGAGCTGTTTCTGCAAGGTGACAGTAGCCAGATTTAAAACTCTTAATCAGAAGAAGGAGATTTTTGGTAATTAGCCAAGTTCAAAACACCCAGAGCAGAAATAAGGTTAATATTCTGCAGAGGTACCAGCTGTCTGGTTGAGGGCTCTGCTGTACACCTTCAGGGCCTCAAAAGTAAATTGTCAATGACATAAATTAGTTGTTTTTAAAATACTGTAATGTGGATGTCCTTTTCAAATGAAAAGGCGTCATCAATCTGTTTTCAAGAATCTAGAAACAAAACTGAAATTTCATGTATCTGATGTGATTTGAAGTGGCCAGTCTTTCTTGCTCAAGTTGCCAAATACTCCTCTCCTTAAAACAGCCCTAAGAGGTACAAAAAGATGAAGGCAGTTTCCCTGCCATGGAGACTAAATGGCACCTGTAGGGAAGGAAACATTCAGACTCACAGCACAGCCTACATCAGGGTGGCCAGTTAACACTGCTGCCAAATGAGCCCCAGGGTCAGGTCTGGTCAATAAAACTTGCTCCAGGTCAGTGGTTTAGAGACTTGCCTGGAGGAAAGCTTAACAAAAAAAATCTCTGGTAGAAAATAAGACAGTCTCTGTGAACCAGCATTTAGTCTTTTCTGCTGCTGGCTCTGAGGAATCTGGGCAGCCCAGATGAGTGGGTTTCCCTCCAGCAAACCACACCCCCTCCACCAAGGCACAGCCAAAGTGCATCATTAAATGGGTCCTGCTTCCCATGCTGCCCAACTGGGTGAGAGCCCCCAACAGGAATTGTCAGACACCCTATACAGGAGTGTCCCTATTGGCATCAGTTAGGTGCCCCTCAAGGTCAGAGATCCCAGAAGAAGGAGCAGGCACCCATCTTTGCTGTTCTCCAGCCTCCTCAAGTGACATCTTTAGGTGCAGGAGAGCGAACCAGATGAAGAGGGCCTGAAGTGAACTCCCAGCAAATCGCAGCAGCCCTACCAAAAAGGGATCTGGCTACTGAAAGAAAAACAAACAGAAAGCAATGACAACAGCATCAACAAAAAAGTTCCCACAAACATCATCCAAGGGTCAGCAGCCTCAAAGATCAAAATGAGACAAACTCATGAAGATGAGAAATAATCAACAAGAAAACACTGAGAACCTGAGAGGCCAGAGTGCCTCTTCTCCTCCAAATGACCGCAGCACCTCTCCAGCAAAGGAGCAGAACTGGACGGAGAATGAGATGGACGAATTGACAGAAGTAGGCTTCAGAAGGTGGGTAATAACAAACTTCACTGAGGCAAAGGAGCATGTTCTAACCCAATGCAAAGAAACTGAGAACTTTGATAAAATGTCAGAGGAGCTGCTAACTAGAATAACTAGTTTATAAAGGAACATAAATGACCTAATGGAACTGAAAAACACAGCATGAGAACTTCGTTAAGCATACACAAGTATCAATAGCCGAATCAATCAAGTGGAAGAAAGAATATCAGAGATGGAATACTATCTTGCTGAAATAAGGCAGGCAGACAAGATTAGAGAAAAAAGAAGGAAAAGGAATGAACAAAACCTCTGAGAAATATGGGGCTATGTAAAAAGACCAAACCTATGACTGATTGGCGTACCTGAAAGAGACAGGGAGAATGGAAACAAGTTGGATAACACACTTCAGGATATTATCCAGGAGAACTTTCCCAACCTAGCAAGACAGGCCAACATTCAAATTCAGGAAATACAGAAAACCCCAGTAAGATACTCCACGAGAAGATCAACCCAAGACACATAATCATCAGATTCTCCAAGGTCAAAATAAAGGAAAAAGTGTTAAGGGCAGCCAGAGAGAAAGGCCAGGTCACCTACAAAGGGAAGCCCATAAAACTAACAGCAGATCTCTCAGAAGAAACCCTACAAGCCAGAAGAGAGTGGGGTCCAATATGCAACATTCTTAAAGTAAAGAATTTTCAACCCAGAATTTCATATCTGGCTAAACTAAGCTTCATAAGCAAAGGGAAGTAAAGTCCTTTTCAGACAAGCAAATGCTGAGGGAATTCGTCACCACCAGGCCTGCCTTGCAAGTGCTTCTGAAGGAAGCACTAAATATGGAAAGGAAAAACCAGTACCAGTCACTGCAAAACACATGAAAATATAAAGACCCACGACACTAAGAAGAAATGGCATCAACTAGTGTGCAAAATAACCAGCTAGCATCATGATGACAGGATAAAATTCACATACAACAATATTAACCTTAAATATAAATGGGCTAAAAGATCTAATTAAAAGACACAAACTGGCAAATTGAATAAAGATCACGACCCATTGCTGTGCTGTATTCAAGAGACCCATCTCATGTGCAAAGACACACATAGGCTCAAAATAAAGGGATGGAGGAAAATTTACCAAGCAAATGGAAAGCAGTAAAAAGCAGGATTTACAAGTCCAGTCTCTGACAAACAGACTTTAAACCAACAAAAATCAAAAAAGACAGAGAAAGGCATTACATAATGGTAAAGGGATCAATTCAATTAGAAGAGCTAACAATCCTAAATATATATGCACCCAATACAAGAGCACCCAGATTCATAAATTCTTAGAGATCTACAAAGATACTTAGATTCCCACATAATAATAGTGGGAGACTTTAACACCCCACTGCCAATATTAGACAGATCAACAAGACAGAAAATTAACAAGGACATTCAGGACTTGAACTCAGTTCTGGA